AGACCTCTTCTGACCCACCGCTGCTCCCCTCAACAGTGAACTTTGTTGATCTGCCTGTTTCTGTTCCTCACTCTGCCTCTGGTGAATCCTCTCACCTCCCCTGCACCTCTCGCCTGACCCCAGTTCTGTATACATAAATAAATCTTAAAAAAAAGAAAATCTTTAGTACTTTCTGAGATAAATAAATTGCTGCTGTTCTTTTTCTATCCACAAAAGGCAATCACATCGAAGCTGCTTAATGTTTGATGCTTTGCAGTTGGTGCTGCAGGAAGTGGTCAGGGAAAGAGTTAGCCTTCCCAGATACTTCCAGTTTGTCAGCCTGCCTTGTCTGACCACAGAAGATGTCTTTTTATGGAGATGTTTTGTTGTAATTTCAGAAGGTGGTTGTTAGTTATGCTGGCTACACTGCATTAGACACATCTGGGATGTGTTCACATAAAGGCATTGGCTCCACACTGCGTCTTGTGGCCTGGAATTGCCGCTGACATTGAGAAGGCTGGCAAGGCTGCTGCTTGCTGCTTGGCCCAACCTAGCAAAGACACCTTCCATGGGAACCTCCACAAGAATTCATTTTGGATGCGAAGAATGAGCACAGAAGTGCCACTTCTCAGATGTTGGGCAGTCCTTTCCAAGATGCTTTAATATGCTTTCAGTCCTCCCCTACATTCCTGCCATGGAAGTTACAGCTCTAAGACAATTATTTACAACCCTGGCACCAGAATTTCTGACAAGGGCTCTGCAATGGCTTTATTTGAGTGAAAGGTAGAGGTGGCACATGTCCAGGCCATCCCGACAGTCGCCCATCACAGACCACGCAGACCACCAAAAAGCCCCAAAGCAAACTGAGACCCACCACGCAGCACTTGCCCCGACCTTTCAAGTTAGAACTCAGTATTCGTCAACAGAAGTCTGTTCTGCTAAATTTGTGACGTAGCTCCTTCTGAAGTTTTCCATTCTCATGTGAAGATGGATAGCCAAGACAAACACAGAAGAATCGTGTTCCATCTGTGGCTATTCCTTCTTCATTTTTAGTACCAAAAATGGGTTCTTTTGCCTTTCTTTGAAAATTGTAGTTTGATTGAAGGTAGAATTTCTGTCACTTGAATGGAAGTTGTAAGTTGCATTTTATATAGCGAAGGGTAAGCACACTGGCCCACAAGTGTTAGATGTCACTCCAAGGACTGAGGACAAGTGAACAAATCAAGATTTTCAGGGAGTTTATTACTTATCATTTTTTCCATTTTCTTAGTATGTTAGATTTTCCCCCACTTACGTGGGGAGGTCTTCTATCCAGTGAGAAGTGTGGACAAGCACTTAGTGCACTGTGAACTGCTCAGTGATAGTCCCAGCATCACATCCACTGATACACACTTGCTTCCACTGAGTATGTACTGGGAGCTGTGCTGAGAACTTACATACTTCCCCAGATTATTCACCACAGAAACCCTGGGAGACAGTGGAGACAGTGACTACTCTTTAGACATTTGTGGGGCCGAGGCACAGGGTGGTGGGGAAACGGGCTTATGATGCTCAGTTGGTACGTGGTGTAGATGGGATTGGAACCCAGGCCTCTGGTTCCAGCGTTAAGAACATAGGCACAGGGGCACTGAATAGTCCACACTTAGGAAATGCAAGCTCTGAATGCATCAGAATTTGATTTTCGTGATTATGAATCTGATAAGCCCTGCAGTTGTATCTGGCCTAGGACAATTTAGAAATAACAGCACATGTGACACTTTAATTCAACGTGACTCAGTCTTACTTGACAGTTGGTTTTGAACAGCTTTATTCTTCTTGTAACATAAAGAGGATTTTTTTTTTTAAACAAAGGGTAAAAAGCAGATTTGTATTTCTCTCTTAAAAAAAAGGATTTTATCTCTTGGTTGGGTTCTTAGAATCAAGTGGTTAAAGTCTCTCATACAGGGCTCTCCCTGGTGTGTAGCGTGTTAAAGCCCTGCACTGTAAGCTCTCAGAGGTCACTGCAGCATGAGTTCGATCCCCACCCAGGGAGCTGACATACGTGGCACAGCAGACCTCTCCCGACCTACCCGCTACTCCCCTTAGCAGCGTGTTTTTCAGTACATCTGCCTGTTCTGCTCACCACTCTGTCTCTGGTGAATCCTCTCACCCACCTCACCTCTGGCCTATACCCTAGTTCTGTAAGCATAAATAAATAAATCTTAACAAAAAAAAGTCACAGTCAGGATAGGCAAATCCAGACACTAAGTTCTGTGATCATTCGTGGGACGGGCACACAGGACAGGTTTGCTGCTCCCTGATTCTGCACCAGAGGTCTTTGCTCCTACTATCCCCTGGGAGGGAGGGAGGTGAGCTGGGGGTGGGGGGACATCGAGAGGGAGCCTCTTTGGAGATGCCAAGTTCCTCTTAGGTGTTTCCAAAGGGTCGAATGTTTGTGTTGCTTATGAGAGTGACCTTTGAGGGAAGGGATCTGTTTTATTCATGTAGAGTGCTTAGACCACAGTAGCTACTCAACGGATGAAGATAGGATGAAAGAAGAACTTCTCAGGTAGAGAAAGTAATGTGAGTAGAAACACTTGGAACATTTCTTGGAACAAGAAATTTTTCTCTTTCACTTTGCATAAGACATGGTACTGTAGGAAGGCTTTGTGGGAAGGTGCAGCTGAAAAGGTAGAATAGTGAGGATTTCACAAATCTTTTCTTTTAATTTTTGGGCAGAAGAACTGGGGCTTAGGCCAGAGGTGTGGGGGGGGTAGGGGGGGGTGGTGAGAGAATTCGTCAGAGACAGAATGGGGAGCAGAATGAGAGATCTGCTAAGGGGAGCTACTGGCAAGACAGAAGAGGTCTGCTGCCCCATGTGAGTTAGTTCTCTGGCCTGGCCATAGCAGTGATAGTGCTGAGGCTTTAACCCTAGGCCACTAGAGAGGCCCCTGGATTTCACAATTCTTTATCATCTTGGAGAGTGTGGGGTTATAGGTGGAGTCTATGTGGCCTTCATAATTTATGCCTCCTTAAAGTAAACAAAATTGAGAGGAAAATGTTTTAGAAGCAAGGAATATTCCCTTTGCAAAAAAAAAAAAATGAGTTTGAGGTGCCTGGAAATCCATGTGGAAGCAGATGAGAAGCTGAGGAGGAAGCACCTTTGCAGTCAGACCTGAAGAGATGATCCTGCAACCAGAGCAGCAGATGAAATTGCTGATGGGGAGGGAGTGGGAAGATGGAGCACCCCAGCAAGACAGTAGAGACAAAGCCATGAAAGAAGGAGGGACACCGAGGGCCACGTTGCCACAGCCTGGATGGTCACTGGCGTGCTTGGGGGCAACCAGCCCAGCCGGGGTCCAGGGCTGGCAAGGATTTCACTGTGTAGACTGAGTTCAAGTCTTGCTGCTGTCCCTGTTAGGAACGTCACCTGCCACCAGCTGTGTCAGCCAATCCCAGTTGTGATAAAATAATTGCAAGTTGAGAATAACATCTCAGTAGCAGTTGTGTTGTTTTGTTGTTTAAGCAGTTAAACAAGTTGTTCCTTAAATAATATTTGAAAATTGTTCTTGTCTATTAAAATAATTATAGCCAATAAAACAGATGTGGGGTTATCGATATTTTGTGTATACATGAGTGACTATTGCAAAAGTTATTATTTTTTTAATTTTATAATAGTTTATTTTTACATATTTTTGTGTATTTTTCCATCTCAGTTGCAATCCCCTTGGGCTTCCCATCACCAAGTCCCACGCGTGTGCCATCACCATAGTCCAGTACATTTCCTCCCCCCACTGTTTTTGATCTCATTCCCCGCTCCACCCCCATTAAATGTCTCTGGTATATGGTTGTTCATTAGTTTTGTTATTTTCTCACCTGGTCCATTATACTCCTGCTATGAGTGAAACCATCCGGTATTTTTCTTTCTCTTTCTGGCTTATCTCACTAAGCATGATCTTTTCCAGCTCCATCCATGATGCTGCAAAAGACATGTGTTTCTCTTTTTTGGTTGCTGAGTAATATTCCACTGTATATATGTACCACATCTTTTTAATCCAGACATCCACTTTTGGGCATTTGGGCTGTTTTCATGTCTTTCCAACTGTGAATAAAGCAGCAATAAACATGGGGGTGCAGGTATCTTTTTCAATCAGTGTCTTTGTGTCTTTTAGACAGATAGCCAAAGGTATTATTTTTTTTTATTTTTTTTTTAAAGATTTATTTATTTGTACATACAGAACTGGGGTACAGGCCAGAGGCTCAGGGGCAGTGAGAGGCTTCACCAGAGACAGAGTGGGGAGCAGAGCAGGCAGATCGACGAAGTACACTGCTGAGGGGAGCAGCGGGCGGGTCAGGAGAGGTCTGCCACGCCATGTGGTCACCTCCGGGGCAGGCGGGGATCGAACTCATGCAGAAGTGGCGTTAGCTTCTCAGTGCAGTGCTTTAACCCGCTGCGCCACCAGGGAGGGCCACAAAGGTATTATTTTTTAAGTGTTCTTGGAAGCAGTACAAAAGTGAAGTCTCAGGAATTTTTAATTACATGTTTGAGTGAATGCCCTGTCTCCTGCCGGATGTGCACTGAGTACGGCCGTTGGAGTCAAACTGTCATCCGCAGTCATCTTCTGCTCTCGTTTTGAGCAAGTGCTGTCTACCCAGCACCTTTCAAGCTCTTTGTACTCTTAAGCTCCTGTTGTTAAGACTTAGGGGTGTGGTTATTCAGCTGTATTTTGGGGGTGCATATTCCTATCTACATTCAGAGCCTCTGCTTTTTGAGCAATCTTAAGTTTATAGCATTTGTTATTTTTTTTCTAGTCCATTCTTTTGGAAATTCTGTATTATTATTCTTCAGACAGAAGTAAAAATTATTATTTCCTTGGATAACATTTGAAGTTTTTGCCTTAGAAAATATGCATTATAAAATGAACCGTTCCCCATCTCAACATCATTCATAAAATGTATTTGAGACACGTTAATGTACTAATATTTTTCTTTTCATTAGAAAAGGAAACAACCTCTAAAGATTTTCTCAACCTTTTTGTTAGGGTAACACGTTAAGAAAAATACTCCTGAATCGATATTTTAAAGGTGATTATGGAGTTGGTGTGAATGGACACCTCTCTGGAACCTACTGCAAGTCTCCCCAAGGAGGAGGTAAGTTTGATCATTTTCCTCTCATTCCTGAGTTTTTATCACATATCTTCATTCTGGTATTACTATTGCATTTCACCTAAAATACCACAAGTATGACAGTGTATTTAAAAAGTGCTGTTGAAAACCTCTTACATTTTCAAGCTCACCAAACAGACTTTTGGCATTGGAAAATAGTGAAATAAATCATAGGTTCTTATGTAAACTAAAGACCAAAGAAAAGGCTGGTTTTATTTTTCAAAATAATTTTTTAATGAAGAAAAGTTATTTAATTACCAGTGTCCTACCTTCAATAAATGGCCATGTTTTCACAAGCTTTTTTCCCCCCTGACTTCTATTATATTTAACTTTGTTGGGGGGTAGGGTGGGTAAGTCTCACTGGTAAGTATACTTAAATTCTCATAATTTGGAAACCTTGTGTGCTACTCATGTCTGATTTTGTTCACTTTCCTGATCACAGGAAGCTTTTCTGGACAAGATTCAGATAAGACTGGGATATCACTCTCGGACATTCAGTGCCTGCTGGATAAGGAAGGTGCATCTGAACTCGTCATTGATGTCATAGTGAACACGAAAAATGACAGAATTTTTTCAGAAGGCATTTTACTGGGTATTGCCTTACTGGAAGGAGGAAACACACAAACTCAGGTACCTGGTTGCTTTTTTATAAAAGACTTTATTTATTTATGTATAGAAGAACTGGGGGGGGGGTAAGCCAGAACTGGGGTGTGTGTTGGGGGTGGGTGTAGGAAATTGTGTGAGAGAGGATTCACCAGAACAGGTATGTAGCAGAACAGGGGGATCTACTGAAATACACTGCTAAGGGGAGCAACGGGCGAGACAGGAGAGGTCTGCTGCGCCATGTGGGTCAGCTCTCTGGCTGGGGATTAAACGCCAGCCTTCATGGCAGTAGCATTGAGACTTGACCCCTAGACCACCAGGGAGACCCCCAACTCAGGCGCCTGTTTATCACGAGCCTAGTGAGCATTTGTTCTCTGAATTTCTTCCATACTTGTAGAGACCAAAGGGAATTTTAGCTTCTCATGACAATCTCAAAATAAAACACAATGACCTGGGCTCACATTTTTCTTACACACTTATTTGATTTGCTCTAGAAACTGAAGAGCTTCACACATGATTCAGTGATGCAGATCATTCCTTAGAAGCATCCTTCCTAACTTTAGAGCGGGTATTCTGAATTGTATAGTGAAATAAACAGCAGATAAAAATGACATTTGGGTTCTTATTATTAAGCATAATAAATAATGAATTAAGTAAGATCCACCAGTGCCTTGCTCAGAGCTTAGCATTAGAACAAGTCTCTGGAACCTTCTGGAAGCACCCAGCTCAACATGTGAGTCCCTTTTTAGACCAGTCCTTTGGCTTATTGCTGCAAATCTTCCAGTGCTCATGACCCCAACAGTCATACATGAGACTCCTGCCAGTTGCCCTGAGTTCATCCATACACAGACTCAGAGGATACCATGTACTGCAGAACTGGGTATATTCCCAGGGAGCAACAGTATCTTCCAGCCCACAATCCCCAATCTGCTGTTTCTAGAACTGTTGTGGAAGGGACGGTATCCATATTTCCACCTAACTGGAACTACCAGAATATTTTCCCTGTTCATGGTGAGTGAGAGCTGCATCTAAGTGAAAACTAGGCTAGCCTCTTTTATTTAGACAGTAATTGCACAAGAGGAGGTTTGCTGTCTGACACACCCAATGCAGGTGATTTTAGGAAGAAAGGCCTCATGGAAACCAATGACACAGGGCCCAAGAGAAGACCCCAAATTGGTTACTTCTTAGTTGGAAACCCAAGTCTTGAAAATTTTTGTGGTCTGAAACCGTAACATAAACTCTGCTGAGGGAAGTAGAAGAGGGTGGTAGAAGGAATTAAGTGGTTTTTCTCGGAATTTGTCTTGTCTTCTATGACCAGATATTTAATTGGGACTTTCTAAAGGAATTGCTTTGCCAACTCTAAATTTGGCACAGGTAATCTGTAGGTAGGAACAAAGAAATCTTTGAGATTACAGCATCTTTTGCTTTCCTGTCTAGGCCATTTTCAGAGGGGATCATCTTTCATTCCATCCCCCTGGGCATATTTATGCTTCTTTCTGTCCTCATGTCAGAAGCTCATGCTCCATTTTTAGATTCCCTAGGTCCTTTCCCATTCAAAATACCCTTCAGTCCTTTTTCACATGATATGTCTGTGGCATTTCTCAAGGGTGACTTTTTCATTCTATATGAAGTTAGTTAGCATAGATGTTGGGACACCGTTCTCTGTTGTCTCTTCCTTCCACCTACCCCTAGAGTACCTTATAGCCTCCCGGGGAGGCACATCTTCCTCTGATTCACTCTTGAATCATGACATCTCCCAAGTCTCTTTCGGGTCTCCTTTCATTATTCTTCTCCCAACCTCCAAGCCTGATCTTCATTTCTACCTCTAACTTGTGTTCAGTGACAACCCACTCTCTTGTTGAAGTCTACACCCTCTATGAAGCTCTCTTCTAGGAATCTTCAGTGAAATGTCTCATAACTACCTTAAAGTAAACACTGAACCCATTGTTGTTCTCCTCCTGGTAACTGACTTTTCTCCCAGTAGCAGGTTCATCTACTCCCCTATCTGAGCAGCCATGACCTTTGCTCACTCACCCTCGCTCTGTTCCCAAACCGCTGGTGGGTGACCTCGGTGATTCTGCACTATTAACAACACTCCTGTCCACGCAGTTTCAGTCTGCTTTTCAGCTCTTATTGCAGACCCTTCTCATCATTTCCTGGGGCCATGAGGAGTAGTTTTGCCAGAGGAGTCCTTCATGCCAGTTTTGCCCTTTTCCAAATTGTTTCCCATGTTGCCTCTGATATGCATTTTTCTGAAAAATGTTACTCATTTTTTTACAGTGGGTCACTTGCTTTTAAAGGCAGATTCTCTTCTGTAGTCCATAAGATCTTTAAGATTTTCCCACTCGCCCCCTTCCTTCACATCTCTGTCCTCCGCGTCTGTCTCAGGCACCAGCTGTGCTAAGCTCTTTGTAGTTACTCACTTCTGTGGTGTCATGTGTCTGGTTGTGCTCTTCTCTCTGAGGACTCAGCTCATCATGGCTTCTTGAAGTCTTTTTGTGGCCTGGTGGCCCCTGGTTGGCCCCTGGTGGCCCCTGGGTTGGCCCCTGGTGCCTCTGTGCCCCTGCCCTGCCGGTATCTCCGGTAACATTCCTGCCCACTTGTTTGTGCCTCTTCATGTATTCACAGGCTGCCTAATATATCATGAATACTCAAAGATCAAGTTCATATCTTATTCATCTTTGTATCCGTGTATCTGACTCCATGGCTGGCCCAACCTAGGGGTTCAGTCAGTGTTCAGGATGATGTGTCTATGAATTAACAGCCCCCATCAGATTTTTCTCTGTCATGAAGTTTTCCCTCTCTGGTTGGTGCTCTCACTAACCACTGCTGCATCTGAGCTCCTGTGGTGCTTGTGTTTCTTTGATATTCACTTAGCACTTTGCCTGTCCTACCTTTTTTTGGCTTCTCTAACTGACTGTACATGCCCTTACAATAGGGGATTGTGCCATATCCTTGCTACCCACAGTGCGTTGTAGCCATGTTAGACTTACTTGTTCTTGAGGCAGAATGACCTTATCTGTGTACATGAAACCTTCTTTCAGATGGGTGTGAGGATCTTCTCAGCACTCTTCTTCCTGGCTCTAAGAGTTCTGGTTGAGGAAAGTTTGGAGTCGACTCCTTGCCTTGTAGACTCCCCCCCAAGACTCCCCACCTCCAGTTTTAGCTCCACAATGTCCATAGCCACTGACACCTTCCTTTCTCAGATTCCTCAAGAGAACATAGGTGGGATCTCTTGACACCCCTACTTTTATAATACCTTCCTTAATCCCCACCCTCCTAGCAGCATAAATCAACTTATAGATGATGATTCATCATCATGCACATCTGAAATTTACATAATGTGATAATGCAGTGTTACTTCAATAAGAAGTTATTTTTAAACTTGGATAAGGGCAGAGTAAAGGAGGTAAAATTATATTGCATTTTCAAACTGAACACTAATAATTACAGTAATGAAATTAATACCTACTAGATATGACACACTGTTTTTAATGTCTTATATGTACTAACTTGATTACTCCTCATAACCACCAAGGAGGTAAATTACTTATTTCCTCATCTTGCCAAAGAGCCTGAAAAGAGAGTTTAAGTTCCTTATTCAGGTTACAAAGCTAGTTAGAGGTAAAGCTAGGATTCAAACCTGTGAAGTCTGGCTCCAGAGCTGGTGCTCTTTATCACTGTCTGCCTGGCTGGCTCACTCAGTATCCCTTTCTAGTCTTAACTCATATCTACTTATGTTTCCCTAATTTTTTTTTAAAGATTTATTTATTTATACATACAGAACTGGGGTATAGTCTAAAGGTGTTGGGGGGTGAGAGGATTCACCAGAGACAGAGTGGTGAGCAGAACGGGCAGGCTGACTGAAGTACACTGCTGAGGGGAACAGTGGGCGGGACAAGAGAGGTCTGCTAAGCCATGTGGGTCACCTCCCTGGCTGGAAATCAAACTTGGGCTGCAACACCTTTGGATAGCTTCATAGTGCTGTGCTTTAACCTGTTGCACCACAAGGGAGGGCACCACTCCCCTAATTTTCTAGCTTTGACTTTTCTGGGGAAAACCTTCTCTCACATGTATTTGTCTATCTGTCATCTGTGCACCTGCGGAAACCTTGGGTTACTCCCCTTAGACTTTGTACAGCTTGTGGAGGAAAGTCTATAAGAGAAATCCTCATTGCCTGTTGAGGTAATGTATGGAGACATATCAAAATACTTCTAATCTTTTTAAAACCAGATCATTCAGTTTTATAGAGTTCTGGTTTTGAAAAGGTGTAATCTCTGTCAGTAATGTGTTGTTTGAGATAAAGAGGTTATAAATTAGTGAGTTAGTAACAGAGAATCTAGAATTAAATTGTACCTCTTCTATCTACTAGTTATGTAATATTGAGCAAGTCACTTGCCTTCATGGAAACTCAAGTTATTAATAAAACGGAAATGTGAACATTATTCATTATCCAGCTGCACTGGGAGTAGCAGTGGCATTAGATCATGCATATCAAAGACTTGCAAAAATTATAAAACTTAGTTTCAGTAGAGTCACAAATATCCTATAACATCCTCATTGATACCTCCTAACCTCATTATATTGAGAATATTAAGGTTTAAACGTTAATATTAAGCTTAATACTATTAAGCTTAATTTGTGGGACTGTAGAGGCCTGTGAATGCTGCATTTATCCTTTGAATTAGCAGAACTAGCTCTACGGATTCCCTGCAGTTGCCATGGTTACTGTGACTCATTGGCCTCCTTCCTGGAGGGGCCGCTAGCCCTCCACGTAGGAGCTTCCCCTTGTCTACATGAAGCCAGCTTCTGAGGATTCAGAAAGCTCTGTGAACAGATCGTGCCCATATAGTGCCCTATGCTACAGGCAGGCACGTGTTTCAAGACCTGGTGATGGTAGCATCTTACCTGCAAGTCCCAGTACCTGTGAATCGTGCTTCTGGGCATTCCTTCCGGGAAGAACATCTATGGGCACCAATCTCCCCAAAGAGGTTTAAATTTATTGGATTATGAATTGGCTAATTCTTACTTGATATTGAAACCATTTTTTTCCCCAACACTATCTTCTATCAAGGTGATGAAACTATTTTAATCACTACATTTACTGGGGTTATTACCTTTATTAATTGTTTACCTTATTTCTCTTATTTGAGTTGTTTCTATCCCATGGTTTCAGTATTAATTTATAACTTTCATACTAATATATAACTACAAATTCTGTGTTGTCTGGAAAGTATCACTTCCTGTCTCCCGCCTATTTCATCTTTTGGTGATGAATGCTGTAGGCATTATCGTGCACCATAAAGCTGCATTCATGTTGTGGTAGGCTTGCCTAGATGCCTCACATAGCTGTGTAGCGAGGGAGCACCCACAGAAGTTACAGCCTCTTCATCAGTGGGTTCCTGAGTGAAGTTGTCATGACAACATATTCTACATTAAATATGCTATGATTTAGAAACAGAGGAAAACAGCTTTTTGTAGCTCTCACAAATTTACATTGACACAGGTGGTCTGTGAATTAGTGGCTGCCTTTACTCAGGGTTACAGACGCCCGAGGGTGGCGATGTTGGTTGCTTTTCCTCTTTGCTCTCTAGTGCTGCTGGCATACAGTAGGCATGCAGTAAATATGTGTTAAATGGATGCATGACTTTATAATAATGCAGGCATCAAAAAACACTCTTGTGCCTACATCTCTTACAGTGTCCTTGTGAGATTTTTAAATAACCAGGTAAGGTGAGTTAAATAACACATGCAAATATTACAGTGGAAAGTGCTCAGCTATTATTAGTACACATTAAAAAGTCCAGGAGACTGGCAAAAACTGTCAATTTATGAAATAATAATGGGCAGCACATTAAATGTGTGCTTTTATCTAGAAGGCTTGTGTTTTTTTCAAGCATGAAAACACTCTTTCTCCTCTTGGATATTGAGATTTTAAAATGTTTTCTTGCAGTATTCTTTCTACCAGCAGTTGCATGAACAAAAAAAGTCAGAAAAGTTCTTCAAAGTTCTTTATGACCGAATGAAGACTGCTCAGAAAGAGATTAGATCAACAGTGACGGTGAATACCATAGACTTGGGAAACAAAAAGAGAGATGAGGACAGCGAGTTGATGACGTCTGGCCCACGGCTGAGAGGTAAGGAACTGCCGAGTGTCTGGGGGAGATTACTTCCCAACGAGCAATCCCAAATGTTTGTCATCTCTCGTATCTTTTCTTATGGCTTCAACTGTGACCCTGACTATGGAGCACTTTCCTTATACTACGATTGCCAGCGTTGATTTTGAAATAGCTCTGGGGTCAAACTCAAGGCATTACCAGTGCAAAGCAACTAGTGATCTGAAAATATTCCATTTCATTGTGGAATGCACGGAAAAGAACAACTGTTCCACACCTTTTTGTCTCTACAGAGATGCTAAATTTTTTTTCCTTTTTTAAAAATATTTTTTAATTTGTGTATTTCTTACATCATTTTTCATTTTTGTACAATGTGTGATTTTTTATATAATTTTTTTAAAGATTTATTTATTTGTACAGAACTGGGGTACAGGACAGAGATGCAGAGGGTGAGAGGCTTCACCAGAGACAGAGTGGGGAGCAGAACAGGCAATCTACAAAGTACACTGCTGAGGGGAGCAGCGGGCGGGTCAGGAGAGGTCTGCCATGCCATGTGGTCACCTCCGGGGCAGGCGGGGATCGAACTCATGCGGAAGTGGCTTCAGATTCTCAGTGCAGTGCTTGAACCCGCTGCGCCACTAGGGAGGGCCCACAATGTGTGCTTTCTTATCCCCATGAAATTCCCACCACCAATTCCCTGTACTCTTCCGATCCCTGTTTTGATCCTACTCCCTCCTTTCTCTCCCTCTGCAGAATGTCTCTGGTTTATAGTTGCCTTTTGATTTTGACATTTACTTTATTATTTTTTTTTCCTGATCCCTTATTTGGATCCTCTACATTGCTCTGAAGAGTGAAACTATCCGGTATTTTTCTTTTTCTCTCTGGCTTATCTCACTGAGCATGACCCCTTCCAGCTCCATCCTTTTGCTGCGAGTAGCATCAGTCCAAACCTTTTTAAGTGCTCATGAAGTTTAAACTTGAAAACAGAAGTTACAGCACCAAACGTAACAAAAGATTCTTGGTGTTTAGACCAACAGTCTTCAGTGCAGTAGTTGCAAATCAAAAACTTGACATTTCAAAGTTTGTCATGTTTTGCCCACTTCCTTATATTTATGAACTCTCCTGTTTTGTCCCCAAAACACAAGTCCTTCTAAAATGGCTAAGCATCAAGTTCCATTTTTCACATCCTAGTACAAATTTAAATTTTTAGTTGCCACCTCAGATTCTTTTTGGGAAATTGTTGCATCTCTTGTCAGATGATTGTTAGATTTGGGCACCTGGTTATCTTTTAATTTAATTAGTGGAAAAATGAAACCAGAAACATATAAGAGTATTGCTTTATTTTCAGCAAGAGAGTCAACTTTACATTTAAAAGAGGGAATGAAAGGCCAATTAACAGAAGCTTCTTCAGCAACATCCAAAGCATACTGCGTGTACAGAAGAGAAATGGATCCGGAAACGGACATCATGTGTGCAGGGGTGGACACGGCAAACGCCGAAGACAGGTCTGCAGAGGAAGTGACCATGAGCCCAGCCATCACCATCATGCAGCCCATACTGAGGTTTCTGCAGTTACTCTGTGAGAATCACAACCGGGAGCTGCAGGTACTTGTTTCGTTTTGTGTGAAAGCTGAGGCTATGGCCTGTGATTAGAAGTCATTAAACTCATAGAAAGCCAGCATGCATTATTGGGGCAAGTTTTGGAGAATTGTTTGAAATAGGAAGAAAAATTCATATTAATGAAAAAAAAAGGGAGAGGAAAATTCCTTTACGCATAAAAATTATACAGTATCATACTTTGTGTCCTGCTCTCACATCTCCCAGCCTCACTGGGCCTCGGTCCTGCTCTTGTGATACATCTGTGCCTCTCATGATTTCAGGGCCGTTCATCATGTCCAACCTACTTCTTTCTCCATGCTAATGTCATCATGGGTAATTGTTAGTGCAAAAGATTTCATACAGTAGTGCAACTTAGTACCTTTGTAAATGACATAGTCTGGATCTTACATCATCTTTAGCACATTTTCTTTGTCAATAAATGGGCTTAGGTGTGTGTGTGGGGGGGGCTGGAACTTTTGCTTCTTTTTTGGGCATCACTTGAACACATTGCATATGTCACCATGGCAAGTCCCATGATGGGTGAGATAATGGATTGGCCTGACAGAAGGTGAGTTTGTTTACCTGAAGCAACTCCAACCTGCAGATCATCTATACCTTTTATTATGCCAAGTCATTACTGCTAGGTGGCAAGGCTGATGGAGATTTTACTACCAACTTACAGTGGAACTGGCTGAAATCTGCAGTAAGTCCTGGGATCTGCAGTGCAGATGTCTGTTTTCTCTATAACCAACAATTATTCAGTGTTTCCAGGAGCACATGTCCAATATTAGAGACAACAGTGTTTGAAGCTGTGTTCCTTAGAAGATGTCTATTCTACAGGTGTTTTGAGAGGTTAAATTCCTCTAAATTGGATTATGGTAATTACATATCCTCTAAGGGCTGAGATGCTCAGGGGTTAAATGATGTTGGAACCGTGGAGCTTGGGGGCCACCCCGCATGGCATGGAAATGGCTGCTGCAGAGCTCTGGGCAGGCAAAGGCCAGTAGCATCACTTTCAGAGGGAGGATACTGAACATGTGCCTGAGTGCTTGGCCTTTCCCTACAGGAAATAAGTATTTTATGCAGAAAGATATGAGTCATAGTAAAATGATGGAGCATTTTGCTGATGAGAGTGTGGGATCAACAGTGTAGAAAATGTTACCTATAAAATAGTTTTGCTTTGATAAGAATGAATAGCAGACTTATTCTCAGTAGCTAAATATGGAAGTAATCCATGTACATGGCTGAATGAGAAAATAAGTAAAATGTGGTGTTTGCAAACTGTGGAATATTATTCAGTCTTAAAGAGGAGAAATTCTGGCATGTGCTACAAGGTGGATGGTCCTCGGAACAGTAGGCTACTTGAACTGAGCCAGTTACAAAACACATCTGCTTTGTGATTCCACTTAACGTGAGATATTTTGAGTAGGCAGAATCATTGAGACAGAAAATAGAACAGTGTTGCTAGAGGCTGAGACAAAAGTGAACAGAGAGAATGTTTGTGTGTATAGTAGGGGTAGTTTCAGTTTTATAAAATGCAAAGAATTCTGGAGGTAGTGGTGATGGATGTATTTTACTACATCCTGAATGTACTTAATCCCACTGTAAAATGATTGAGGGTAAATTTTACATGATGTATATTTTGGTGTTTTAAAAAATGGGGCTAAAAAATCCAAACCTATACAAAAAAGGGAATGGTAGAAAAATTTAAATAAGTCAAACAGTACATGGTGAGTATATTAAGTAATAAAATAAAAACTGTAAGGTTTCCTCTTCACTTGCCCTTCCACAAAGCATACTGTCCAAAAGCAGTAGCTGTCAATAGGTTGTGTTTACTTAGAGAGATTTTTTCTTTAAAGATTTATTTATTTATTCATACAGAACTGGGGTACAGGACAGAGATGCGGAGGGTGAGAGGATTCACCAGAGACAGAGTGGGGAGCAGAACAGGCAGATCGACGAAGTACACTGCTGAGGGGAGCGGCGGTCGGGTCAGGAGAGGTCTACCATGCCATGTGGTCACATCGGGGCAGGCGGGGATCAAACTCATGCGGAAGTGGTTTAAGCTTCTTTGTGCTTTAATCCACTGCACCACCAGGGAGGCCCCTACTTAGAGAGATTTTAATGCACTTATTATAACCAGACTAATCTGTGCATATAAACTTTTTAAAAAAGATATTACGCCATATTTTGCAACTTACTTTTTACACTTGGTGGTGAATCTTATTCCTAATTACCTATTACTAGATTCATCATTTTGTCCCCTTCCCAGTGGAAAGACCTCATTTTTCTAGCCTTATAATGCCCAATGTTTGGATGCACTGCTATTCATTAAACAGCCGCCCTGTGAGGGCCCAGAGTGGACTGCTAGACATACAGACAGAAGAACTCTTTTGAATGGGAGTTGAATATCCACTGAAATGTTGTAGGCACTTAGAGTTTATCCTCCAGGCAGTTGAATCATTCTCTGAACCTGCATATTTGATAAGGGAGTCACATACTAAAAAGTCTGACAACTTGTTTGCCCAGCAAACCTCCCCTTTCCTTTTCCTTCTTTTCCTACTACCATCATCTTTGCCCTCTCTATAGATTTTTTATGAACTTTCCTGATAAATACAGATATCTGAGGGTGGAAAGCCATGTCTTTCTTTAAAACTAAAAAAGTTTAATAAATGTGAACACTTTCTTATAGGGAACAATTCTATTCCACCTTGCCACAGGGATCTTTTTGAGTTAGAAAAACAAACAACAGAGAGAAAGAAATGAAAACAATTAGCACAGTGGTTTCATTTTAACCCCAAAGGTATATTTTCTCTTGCCTTTAGAACTTCTTGAGGAATCAGAACAACAAAACAAATTACAACCTTGTCTGTGAGACCCTTCAGTTTCTGGACTGCATTTGTGGGAGTACAACAGGGGGCCTGGGCCTCTTGGGTCTCTACATCAATGAGAAGAACGTTGTGTTGGTCAACCAGACCTTGGAGAGCCTGACTGAGTATTGCCAGGGCCCGTGCCATGAAAACCAGGTAAGCAGGCAGGCAGCACATGCTCCACACATATACTCCGAGGGCTGGACTGGCCAAGAAGCCAAGCTTGGTGTACATTTGCATGGTCTCTTTCCTCTGCCAGGTGTTTTTACTTTTCCAACAAAGCTTACAAAGACTGAATTATAGACCAATAAATACAGTGCCCTGCTTTCATTAAATTCTATGGCAAAAGAAAATTCCCATGAAAATGTCCCAGATAAACATCAAACTTATCACAAACAGCAAAGTATGTTTCTTCATCAGTGCTCAGTTTTTATCTTCAGTGAATCTTTCCATGATCTGTAGAATAAACTTTCATAGCCTTCCCTGGCTCCTCTGAAGAGGGTGGTGTACACTGCCTCCTTGTTATATTCATAAGCTTATTTGAAATAGGTATCATTGTCAGTGGTTTCCTGTGAATAGGTTCTAACTGCGAGACTGACATTCCTGTCTCACAGACTGAATCAGTAAGATGCAGTGTCTGTCTTAAAGTCCTTGAAGCTCTGTATTCTGAGTCCAAATCAAATGGTCCATAGCAAACCATTTGTCTTGATTCCATCTTCTTAGATGTGAGGGACGCCAGAGAGTAGTAGAAGACAGCACCCTGGAGCTAGTAAAGGGAGACATTTGATAACTGACTATTGACTTCCATGGGCCTTTGCTGCCTCACATGCAGGGATCCAACCTGGGAGAGAGAAGTTTCATACATTTCTGAATATAAATTAGAAAGCAGCCATGGAGACCAAGTCTCAATGCTTGACATAGAAAAAAAAAAAAAAAAAGGACAGAAAGGAGGCTTGCTTTTCTGTTTTCAGTTGCACATCCTGTGACTTCTATAAACACATATAGTATATATGTGATGCATATTCACACGGACATGTAAGCACACATTTACATGCATAGAACACAAGTAATAGTAGAAGTCACTTGTTCTGGGAGTACTTTTCCTCCCTCTGGAGTGTGTGTGTGACCGGGTGAAAGAGTGTATGGATTTCACTGTTTTTGCCTGTCCTAGGGCCGTAACACAAGAAAACCTGATTGTTGATGAAATTCAGTGTAGAAAGTAACTTATAATCATGTAAGCTCTAAAAATGAAAACAAATTTTAAAATACCATGAATACCACCTACTCTAAAAAATGCAGCAATTCTAAGCCCTGTGCTTTGAAAAATCTGGACAAGAAAGAGGTTTGTTTCAAATTCTAGAGTTGGCCTAAGAGTAATTCCTTCTTTGTGCAGCAAACTCTCTGATGATCCAGAGCACATCTGGGAATGTTGGGTGGAAGCTGCCATTTCTTTGTATGAAGGGAATAAAAATTCCCTTGTGTGAAGGGTGAATTGCTGTCTGTTCTGAAAAATAATACACATTTCAGAGTTACTGTGGCTATTCTTTCTCATGTTAAATTTAACTCACCTGGATTTTGATGTTTCTGTCCCCTTAACAGTCCTGGCTACGTGGTGATGTGGCATCCTCAAATTCCAGTACAAGTTCCTGGTTTCAAGTTCTATAAAATGATTGAGGCTCAGTTGCCAAACTTGGAGCCTCAAAGTACAAATTTTTATCCCAGGAAGTACATGTAACCCAGTTAGCGCTTGATAACAAGTGGCCCTATCGGCGTCTGCTGTATGAGCACTGACAAAGTTTACATACAAATCGCACAAATGAGAATATTGTCTTAGCCAGCCTAGATCACATCTTAAACCTTTAAATCTATTGGAGGGTTTATGTGTTAACAAAAAAAAAAATAGTATTTCAGGTAACTGGTGTGCTTTGAAATTCTATGAAAAGTATTTATTTTAAAATCTCCTGTTTCACACAGGACCTCTCAGTATCCTGCATACAAAGTCACTTAATTGATACTAATGGATTAATTATTAGATTCTGCAAAAGAAGTAGAGTTAAACCTTGTCTTATCTTTGCCTTTATCTCAAAGTGAGAATTTTATTCTAAAGGTCAAAGAATGAAGGCAATTGTTTTCTGTCATGGTTTCTACTGCTCTTATGTTATAAATAGATGCTACCTTATAAACATTTGTTTTCTAGACTTGTATTGCTACTCATGAATCAAATGGGATTGACATCATCATTGCTTTAATTCTCAATGACATCAACCCTCTTGGTAAATACCGGATGGACCTCGTGCTTCAACTCAAGGTAGAGTAAACCCACTATTGGGAGCAGAGGGTGAAATTCTCTTTAAAACTCCTTGAGAGCTTACTCTTAGTCTTCAAGTAGCGCTTGCAAATACCAGGATATTACCATACCAGCATTAACGAACTGGCCGGAAAGGAGAATGAAAGCACAGGCCAAGATCAAGATGCAGCGCAATTCCTGCTGAAATGCCCAGTAAAGATGTTGAGTCAGAGGGCACATTATTGGATGAATTTTTAAGTAGGCACTTTGTTTCACTACTTCTCTTTTGTTTTTGCTTGTCATTATATAGAAAGCAAAAGTGCCGGCCCTCCACTCTACCGTATGCTTTTAGTTCTTGACTATGGAATTCCATCTGGCCAGTCCTAATTAATTCAGCTCTGTTAAAGGGAGTCTGTCTCCTAGTTGGATGACTCTTCTTTCCCGTGCTTGATTTTTTTTTTTACATTAGGTGTTTAATTCCCCCCACATTTTACAAGCTACTTCCATAGTTCCTTTGACACAAGCCAGGCACCACTTGGTGTCCTTCCATTTATATTAGCTCTGGACAAAACAGCATTAAAATTTTTTCTTCAGCTTTTTGTTCAAATGGAAATAGAAAAATGAGTATACTCTAGTTACTGTAACTCCTGGAGACAAAAATCACAATATTCAACTGAGATGAATTATTGGAGGCTGTATTATTGTGTTTAACCTTGCAAAAGTAAAAGCAAAATCCATTTGTTAAATGCAGTTTTTCTACAAAGGCATTTGTCTGGTATCACAGAAAAAAGAATTAACTTTGCATGGGTAAATTTATGGCCAAGAAGAATAGGAATGATGTTTTCTCATTTCTGTTTGTAAATACAGATTGAACTATAATGGATAAGCATATGTCCTTGTGTGAAGATTGTGCTAATGGTTCTTAATAAGTAAGCAAATGTTTCTTTGAATAGAGGAAATGAAGGGTATTTTTTTGCCCCTTGTTTTCATTTGCAAAATGGACAAGCTATGGGTCCTTCTGCTCCTCTGTAACTCCTCTGTAGACGGGAAGGGGCCTGAGGTAGTGTGAACTCATGCCATGTCCTCACTAGTGTCACACTAGCCTTCATGAAATAAGCCTCGACCTGTGTGGTCATCAGCTTAATAAGTGCTCAAACCACATTTTTTTCCTCCTAAATTCACCATTAGTCACAATTCATAAAGAAACAACATAGCAAAGCCTTGGTCTTTGACTTTTGAAATCCTTAAAAAACAAAAACAAAAACTTTCATTGCGATCTTGTTGACATACAGTATCACATTCACTGAAAGTGTGTAGCATAGTGGTGTGATCCTTGTATAAATAGCTAAATGAGCTCTACAATAAGCCTAGTTATCATCCACACAGCACACATAGGTATACATCTTTTTGCTGGTGAGGAAAGCTTTTAAGACCTAGTCTCTTCGCAGCTTTCAAATAGTCACTGCAGAATTGTGAACTGTCACAGCCCAGGACTTATTTGTTGTATAACTAGAAGCTTGTATCTTTTGATCCCCCATGTCCCCCTCACCCCCCACCTCCAGCAACCACCAATATGTTCTTTGTATCAGTGAGTTTTTTCCTGTTTTGTTTTGTTTTAGATGCTACATATAAGTGAAATCATACATGGTTGTCTTTATCTGACTTAATTCATTTAGCATAATGCTCTCAAGGTCCCTCTGTGTTGCCTTAAATTCGTCATTAGTCTAAAGACAGTACCTTCAAATCTCATTTTGAGTTAATGTAGCTTAAAGAGCAGGGAAATACTAAATGAGCCATCAATTTAAAATAAAAGCAGACTGATTATTTACAAATGCAGACTTGCAAACACTGAATGATAGAGGCTGACCTAACAGTGAAGATAGTCCCTCGCTATTCAAATGAACTGTTTTTTTGAAAGAGAATAATTTAAAATTTCATTTATGTTACTAAGCATCATTTATGTATACCTCCAAAATATGACAGTTGGATAAATAAAGGTTTGTATTTATGTATTACAAGATGAATGGATTTGTCTTGAAATATTTAAAGAATAGTTTTCTAAAAAAAATCTGTGTGGTTTGCATCTGCTAGTCTCTTTTTAAGATAGCAAATGTTAGGTGCCCCAGGAATAAGGTGCTTTTAATTATAAATTCTTCATGACATTACAGAGATGCATTCACACTCGTTAAAGGTTTATATCATTGACAATTTTAAATATCCTTTATCCATTCATTTATGGTGCAATTTTATGAAATTTTTTCATCCATATGTCTCATCCTTTACATTTAAATTTACATTTTACCACTCATCTGTGATTAGGGAAGTGCTAAATTTGTACACAGGACTTTTTGTTTGTTTAATAATTCTTGTTTCCTTTGGAACAAAACTCTACTAATAATGGCACAAATATTTGATCTCTTAGTTTACATAGGCTCTTGTGCTTTCAAATGCAGACTTAAGTGGGTCATTTATTAGACTTCTTCCAAAGTAGTACAAACAAGAAGATTGGTTAGCAAAATGCCCTATTGCTAGTAGCATTCTGAAATCGTCTATATTTTTAAGTCCTGGGCTAGCTGAGTGAGGTTCATCAGAGGATATCGTTAGTGTTTTCACTTTGAATTCTGTGGGGTCCCTTGGGACCGCTCTGAGGGCTTATGATCCCCCACTGGTCCCTAACCCTTACTTTTTAGGGATGATTTTGTACGGATGCTAGTTTATAAAAATGGTACAGATTAGAAAATGGAACAGAACAAAATACCACTTTCCCTACAAAATGCTAAATCTATTTTATGGGGGGTTGTGGCGGTTGTCTCACCACTGTCATCATGTTTAGTAATACTAGGCATTTATACATGGTCTTTAGGCTCTACTCCTGGGGGAAGAAAAAAGTTCTGGATAGAATTTACTATTGAAGCTACATTAAGACTACTTTTCACAGCTTTAACAGAATTTGTTGAGTGTCTGCATTCATGAAACTGATTCAATTTGTTCCCTCCTGTATGCTATTAATTAGGCACGGCTTAACCTAAGAAGAAACTAAGAAAGGTCTTAAAACCACTTGACTGCTACTTTTGTTCTTATCAGAACTTAGGCATGAGGTCCAGATTTTCACTGGGTGCATATTGTGAAGCTCTGTAGAGTCTCTTCCGTGGAGCCCTGAGGAGCTCCCAGCTTGCACAGTAAAGGGGCAGCACTGTTGCCAACTCAGAGGAAAGAAACATCCCTGCCCCCACGTTGAACCCACTGTGTTGGTGGCCTTCAGGCTTGCTGGAGCCCTCGGTGCCATTCCGGGCTACACGTGGACAGTATCAGAAATGTGTGTGATAGGTAAAAGTGCTGAAATCATATCTTTGAAGACCCTACCGGAAACATCAAAGATGACATAAATTAATTTCATTCTCTGTCAAAAGTTCTTCAAGCCAGTGGGCAACCTGTTGTCACCAGTAAACATATTTATTCATAACTTATCAGTTTAGAATTTCATGGGGTAAATTTTGCTCATATCTACTGAAAATTTTGATTTGCTAATATGTACAAGTGTTTCACATTAAAAACATTGTGCTAGAGTTTTAAAAACTAGACTATTTCTTTAAGTATACAAGTGATTCTGGTTCACTTTATTGTCTTGTTAAAAGGTTATTGTAGAAATGCCTATGAGGAAACAGTGGAAGAAAATGCCGTTGTATTCTTAAGCATTATATATAAAATCAATTTGGTGTTTAAAACACTTTTTTTTAACCAATACTTAAAACATCCTTCATAACATTGCTTGTGATTTATTATTTTTACTTTGTGTTGACAAGAAAGTAAATTATTCAGTTTTTAAATGTCAACAAGCCAAATGAAATCAGCAGCTTAAAATTGTTTAAGAAAAATGGTTCTGACTGTTAATTAAAATGAATGCAGGTGAATGCATGAACATTTACCTGTGCATTGACTCAATCCTTATCTCCAGAACAATGCTTCCAAGCTCTTACTGGCCATCATGGAAAGCAGACACGACAGTGAGAATGCAGAGAGAATTCTTTTTAACATGAGACCCCGAGAACTGGTAAGAAAATATTTAAAAGTCATATTAATATTGTACAGCTTAAAAGATACAAGTTTTAGTGTATATGACAGAAGAAAAGTCTAGTATTGTTCTCTGCCCTGTCCAGTCCTAGGACACATCATCACCTTCCTAGCACTCCCAGAACCTGAGAAATTGACAAAGGCATGTGTGATTTGGCTCCTTTCCTTAATGGTTTTATCCACCCCCAATAACTGTACATAACTGGGTTGTCACAGTTACTCTGAAATTATTTGTAAATTCTTTTAGCCTGAAAAAGAAAAGTTTGCTTCAGTCTGTATATTGGGATCTATGAAAAGCTTTGTACCTCTCAAAATTTTTATTCACACCACTTCTGAAAAGTGAACATAAAGTTGTTATCTTTTGTCCTTATTCTTCCTTGGCTTAGAGCAAATTGTGTGGAGACCTGATGGGGATTTCACGAAGATCATCCGTGTGTCTTCCTGTTGTAGAAGTTATCTTCTCCTCCTTACTTGTTCCTTGGAAATTTTGAAGTTATATTGGTGTGTTGTAAAAGCATGGGTTTCAAAAGCACGGAGGACACACGCAAGACATCCAGCTCAGCACCCCAGGGACTAAGCCCTCCTCCTGTGAGCGCCAGTGTTGGTGCTGTGAGCGGAGTAGGCAGAGAAGGGCTCCACACCTGTCATCCTCTCTTTAAAGGCAAAAGCCAAAGAGCACAGAGAGGAGAGAAATGAGAAGCAGTTTGATTATGTGTCTGGTTGATGAGGTTTTGATATCTGCAGGGACCTTCCTTCTCACTGTTAAATGGAACAATGAATTTCAGCTTCACCCATCGACAGCACTGGATGGGAACCTTCATACCTCTGCCTGCGGCACCTTCACCCCACCATCCCTTTCTCCTTATGACCTACCCCCAACCTCCAGCCCAAGCCTCCCGGGTGCCTTATACGTAGGCCTATGGTAGGAGTATTGCAGTCTTTCTTGATGAGGTGCTGATGCTTCTCACTGTACAGCTAAGTTCCCTGAAGTCATTGCATCTACTGGGTACATTGTTGGGTTCTGAGTGCCCAGGACAATGTCCGGCACCATCTTTTCCAGTTACCTACTAGGCACTTAATAGATAGTGGGTGCTCCTCTGAATTCATGGGAATGTTGACACTGTCAACTTTCAAAGGACAAAGCAAAAGTTCCTAAGAAAAATAGGGACTATTGCTGGGGAAAATGGGTCTATGTTCATTTCAATAAAGATGGTCTTTGAGGACCCTCCCTGGTAGCACAGCAAGTTAAAGTGCACCACTATGAAGCTGTCAGCAGCCACTGCAGTACATATTTGATTCCTGGCCAGGGAGGTGACCCACCCACAGGGCAGAGCAGACCTCTCCTGACCTGCCTGCTGCTCCCCTCAGTCATGTATTTCAGTAGATCTACCTGTTCTGCTCTCTGGTGAGTCCTCCCACCCCATACCCCACACCTCTGGCCCGTACTCCAGTTTTGTATGCATAAATGAATAAATCTTGGGAAAAAAAAGATGGTCTTTGAAGCTATTTTCACGTGAGTTATTTTTTATTTTATAAGTTGTAGGAAGATTTAAAATCATACGAACAATGTAAAGTGCATATTGGAAGTGGCTTTGAAGCCTGTTGTTCCTGTTTTTCTTTCCTGATAGGTGGATGTGATGAAGAATGCCTATAACCAAGGGCTGGAATGCGATCATGGAGATGATGAGGGTGGAGACGATGGCGTTTCCCCTAAAGATGTCGGACACAACATCTACATTCTTGCCCATCAGGTATCACATTTGGTATCTTTATTTTGTTATTTTTTTCATGGTTTCTTATATTTATTTTCAAGCATTGTCTCCTTTATTGATTCAGCATCCTCCCCATCCTGCCTCCCCCCACCCAGCACCACCACTGGTTGAAAAGGAAGACAGGTTCCTACAATGTTGATCCCCTAAGCTATGCAAGGGATGATCCTTAAGATCATGGGATTTACACCAAAAACTGCTGGGCCAGGAGCAGGGGACAGTCCCTTATTGGACTAGGCAGGGGTGAGTGAGGTCAGGCGTGTTCCATCTGCACTGCACAGACCCTGGCATGAGTCTGGCCCCATTGACTTGGAGGGTGACCCACTGCCTGCAGGAGCCACCATGTGATAGCCTCCAGTTGACTTCCACTCGACTGCTAGCAAATGTGAGGCTGAATTGGAGGAACTATTTCCATTCATAGTAATTTATGAAAGCAGGTGCTTGATAAGTGTTCCTTGACACATGTAATTCCACTAACGTGAAGGTCAACTTTCAGCATGCATCTTCTGATGCAGATTGGCATAGAAATCACAAAAATTTTAAATATACAATGCCAACTTGAATTTGTATGTGACTACTCCCTCCTTTTTACAAAATGACTAACCCAGTCTCTTTCTAGCCATTCTCTCCCATGGACCATCTTCCCCTTGTGCTGCTTCCCTGTGCATGTCATCAGGGAGTGCAATAGTCATGGGTGGGTGTAAGATTCTGAGAAGACTCGATTTTAAAACTTGCTCTCTAAACACTTCTTGGCCTTTCTCTGCACTTTCTATCGTTTTGTATGTAAACTTGAGAATGAGACAGATTCAGGGAAGGGATTAAATTCTAAAATACTGTTTAGTAATATGATCAGGTCATTAAGAACATATTTAGGTGTTTCATCATCTAGCAGAAATGCATATATCTATAATATACATGCGCACACACACACACACACATATGCAAAAAAGACAAGGCCAGATGGGGTATAGCCAGAAAGACAAAAGAGAATTTTAATTATTGAGGAACTGACAGTTAAGATGAAGGACAAGTTAAAGGAAATAGATTTTTGGATATGGAAAGGTATCATTCTTAGAAAGCAAAAACATTTTTGGAAAAGAAAAGCTTGATTCTCGCTTAAGGAAAGGCATGAGTGAAGACTGAAGGTGAATGGAAAGGAAGACCACAGGTTGAGGATCAAAATCACGTTGGCTGTTTAACCGAAAGCAGAAGCCACGTGACATAGCACAGACATACGGTAAAGGACTGACTGCAGACAAGGAACCTTAGACAAGGAAGCAGCAAGGAAGACTAAGAGCAGAATGAGCAGTAATAAGTGTTAGAAGAAGCAAGTGGGCATAGTTTCTTGACGTGAAAAAGTAACCTGTTTCTACCTAAATGTGTCCTCTTTGCGCTGTGGGTGGCGGCACAGCCGAAACAGGAAGAGAGCTTGGCAGCTGGTCAGCCCTGGGCCATGAGCGGTCACTGTTTGGACACATGTCCTGACACCGTGCAGGAGCTGTTGACAAATGCGGCCCCGTGTTACCAGTATGATAGGGGTCACGATCACAGAGTCACGGTCAAGCAGACTTTTGTTAGGCCAGTTCAGTGTTAAGCAGACTAATACAAGAATCAAAAAAGCAAAATTTAAAACAGACCAAGATGGCCGATGAGAAGAATGGAGAATGGTAATAAAGAATTTATTGTCACAGATCGAGAGCTAATAATAGGAAATTTGAGAGAATTAATAATTAAGACAGCCAAGAGGGTGGTGATTTTGGTAGGTGTTGAGTTTCTGAAAGTGCCTATAGAGGGCAGGTCAACCTCGAAACTGGTGGCTGTGAGGAGTCCCCCGGGAGGGCGATCTGGACACACAGTAGTAAAAATGTAACAAGGGATTAAAAACCACTTACTGAAATGAAGACAGAAAGCAGCAGATGTGAAATGGCTTGAATGGTGATAGTGAGGTTTCTTGTTTTCCTTCAGAAATGCTGAAAAAGCAGACGTTTGCAGATCCAAGCTGGAGATACCTCCATAGAATGAGGAGGGGGGAAAGTTGGGCTGAGTAAGGGAGAAAGGGGATGTGAATTGCTCAGTACTTTCAGCCTTGTGATTTCACTGTAAGAATGTCAGTATGAAACGACGTCCCTCTGAGTCCCGATAGAGGCTCCGAGAGGAGACGGGGAAGGGCAATGTCTAGGGAGCAGGGTATGTAACTGACAGTGTAACGCTAAGCTGCTCCATCTCCTGTGCCATGGGACTTGTCACTCGACTCGTCACCTTGCTGCTTTTTAGTGTATCCCTTGAGAATGACTCCTTCTAGTAGCTGTTCATGAAAAATGATCCATTTTCAAACCCAAAAGAGTGCATGCTGTGCTCTGGTTCTTTCACAGGTGAGGTTTCTGCCTCTCTGAGGCCAGGGGCTTCTGTTCTGTTCTGTCCTGCCCTGTCCTGTCCTGGTGGCTGAGCTCCCCGCAGGCCTGTTGTCTGTAAGGCTCCAGGGCATGCCAGTGAGTGGGCTTGGAAGCTGCCTGGCATGCAAATGGCTTGCTGGACGTGGGGGTTATCAGAGCCCAGGTTGCGTCGTTTGCATGGTGGCCGTGGAACCAGGGCTGCTGTGTGCTGATGACTGTGCAGATGCTCTGTCTCTGCACAGCTCAGTCATTCCAAAACCAAGGCTCGACTTCCTCCTTGTTTTACTATAATCAGCTTTGGCACAGACAGTTTATTTAGGTGCCCTCAGACTTTCGATTTTTGTTGTTACTCTTTTCATGGTAGGAAGATAGTTCTGCTTTTTCTCCCATGACATCTTTTTTGGCTCTTCCTGTGGTTAGTGTTACAAGAAACAAATAATGCTTCTTGTAAGTGTCTTGTCTAATCTGCATAAAACTATAAATACATAGAAAAGGGAATTTCTAATACGTGAGTATTGTGCAGTGAATCTCCAGAAAATCCAGCGATGTGTCCTCTGCTTGCTCTCCACCTCTTGGCTTCCTCTTCCCCCTCCAGTCTTGCTTTTACTTCTCTTTCAAGGACACAGTCTGCAATCTGGAATCTTGTTCAGTGCTTTGTATTGCTTGAGATCTGTTTGGACATTGTCTCTGTAGTCCCTCGTAGCAACTAATGTTTTTGAGGCCCTTTATTTTTTTTTATTTTCTCCCAGTTTATTGATACATAATTGACATCGAGCATTGCACTATGTTGATTTGATAACACTTATATATTGTGAAGTGACACCTTTCATTACATTAAATGGCATCTCTCTTTTATTCCATAATTGCCATTTCCTTTTTGTGTGTGTGAGGACATTTAATATCTGTTCTCTCTGCAGCATTCAAGTGTTGTTCCATGGTAGCATTAACACTGTTTCTCTTTCTGTACATAAAAGTCCCAGAATTTTTCATCATACAACTGAAAGTCTTTGACCAGAATCTTCCCAGTTCCCCCACCACCTAACCTCTGTATGACATTTTTATAATCCACATGCAATGACACTGTGTGCTATTTCTCACTTGTGCAGTATCGTGTCTGACTTACTTCGCCCACAGTTGTCTCAGGATTTCCTTTCTCGTGACGGAATTACACTGTAACACTCCACAGAGTGTTGTGCAGTGAATTTCTGTAAAATCCAGGATGTGTCTCCTTTGGCTTTTTGTCCTCCGATTGCTCTCCACCTCTTGGCTTCCTCTTCCCCCTCCAGTCTTGTTCTTCTACATTCTTTTCTCTTCTCTTTCAAGGGCACTGTCTGCAATCTGGAACCTCTTTATTCATTCATTTGTTGATGAACTCTCAGTTTTTGCTCTTGTAAATAATGCCGCCTATAGTGAACATGTGTGAACATGTGAGACCCTTTATTTTGTATTAACATTCTTTTTTAAAAAAAATTAACTTTTTTATTGAACTAACATTGGTATATATTGCACAGTAGATAGCTCGGTACAAGTTCACAGCTTTTCCGATATCTAGTGCCACACCACACCCACCAACAAGACATCCACAGCCCTCCATTGTAGTCTAGTGGACCCCCCACTACGTTTTTGTACACACTAGAATTAAGAATTATTTGGAGGCCTGTTTTTTCCTTTGTGTGGTGGGGACAAGAATTAGCTAGCCTGTGGAAAGCAAAAGTAACTACCGACTTACAAGGCAAGAAAGAACAACCTGCTGTATGAAGTTATTTTTAAAATATAGGCTTTAAACATTTTTGTGAGCATTCGCCCAGTAAATGGTCTTTGAAAGCACAATTAGTGTCTGCATAATTGTTGATGGTGTGAATGTACCATAATTTATTTAATCACTTCTTATTGTTAGATCCTTAGGTTTGTAATGTTTTTGATGTCATATATTATGCTATGATTAACATCCTCATACATTAAGCTTTGCCTGCTACATTGATTATTTTTTTCAGACGAATTCTAAGAAGTTTAATTACTAGGTCGCAGGGTAGTAGCTATTTTATGGTTCTTGATACATATTATAAAATTGTTTTTCACAGTATGTGATGGTACTCATCATTACTGAATCCTAAAATTATTACCATTTAAAAAAATCTTTGCCAAACTTAGAGTGTTTGTAACATTGTAACTACTCAACAAATGTTTGTTAAATGAATTAATGAACTATGGTTGAAAGTGGAGCTCATTTAATTCCCATCTTTTCAATTACTAAAAATAATGAATTAACTTTTGATAGGTTATTTGATCATTTCTATTTCTTTTGTGAATTACTTTAAAATGTGCTTACACAATCTTCCCTTAGGGTTTGTTTTTTATTTTGTGAACTTTGATAAGGATAACAGACCTCAGTCATTGTAGTTAAATCTATTTTTGACTGATTCATTTGCTTTCTAATGTTCTAATGACAGTTTTCTTCTGCAGCCTTGAGATTGCTTAAGCATTGACCTGCACTTACTTCTTGTGTATCGTAAATTCAGTTTTGTATTTAATGATGTAATCTTCCCCATGTCATGACACAGAAATAAGAGAAAGCTTTAATGCTAATTC